ATTACTTACTTGGCCATGCTAAAGGAAGATGACGAGATCGAGAAAACGGATGACCTACCATTGATCATCCGTGAAGTCCTAGAGGAGAACAAGGACGTGATGCCGCCCGAGTTACCAAATAAACTTCCCCCAAAGCGTGAGGTGGATCACAAGATCGAGTTGGAACCCGGTGCCAAGCCGCCTGCCCTGGCACCCTACCGAATGGCCCCACCCGAACTTGAGGAACTTCGAAGGCAACTCAAGGAGCTAGTCGATATGGGAATGATTCGACCTTCAAAGGCACCGTATGGCGCACCGGTACTCTTCCAAAAGAAGCACGATGGGTCATTGCGCATGTGCGTCGATTACCGGGCACTTAACAAGGTAACCATTAAAAATCGCTACCCGATCCCTTTGATTGCCGATTTATTTGACAGACTTGGAGGAGCCAAGGTGTACACGAAGATGGACTTGCAAAAAGGCTACTACCAAGTTCGAATAGCAGAAGGCGACGAGCCAAAGACTGCATGCATCACCCGATACGGATCGTACGAGTGGTTGGTCATGCCCTTTGGTCTAACCAATGCACCGGCGACGTTTTGCACGCTCATGAACAAGCTCTTCCAACCGTACTTGGACCAGTTCATGGTGGTGTACTTGGACGATATCGTGGTATACAGTAACTCCATCGGAGAATATGTAGACCACTTGAGGATTGTGTTCAAGATACTTCGAGAAAACGAGCTATACGTCAAGAAAGAAAAGTGCACGTTTGCCACCGAGGAAGTACACTTCCTTGGACATGTAATCGGCCACGGGAAGCTATTAATGGACAAGAACAAAATTAAGGCCATAACCGAGTGGGAGCCGCCGACCAAGGTAAGTGAGATGAGGTCTTTCCTTGGTCTAGTAAATTATTATCGCCGGTTTATACAGGGCTACTCAGCGCGAGCATCACCATTGACGGACCTACTCAAGAAGGGGAAGGCATGGGAGTGGTCTGAACAATGTCAGAAGGCCTTTAAGAACCTGAAGGCAGCAGTTAGCCAAGAACCTGTCTTGGCCTTACCCGACTTTACCATGCCGTTCGAGGTGCATACCGATGCATCCGACTTCGTTATCGAGGGAGTATTAATGCAAGAGGGGCATCCGATAGCATTTGAGAGCCGCAAGCTGAATGACACCGAGAGGCGGTACACGGTGCAAGAGAAGGAGATGACGGCCATCATCCATTGTTTGCGGGTATGGAGACATTACTTACTCGGTGCGCATTTCACCATCAAGACCGACAACGTGGCGACGAGTTACTTTCAGACCCAGAAGAAGCTATCACCAAAACAAGCTAGGTGGCAAGACTTCCTAGCCGAGTTCGACTACACGTTGGAATACAAGCCGGGCAAAGCCAACGTTGTAGCCGATGCCTTAAGTCGAAAGGCGGAGCTCGCCGCGATCTCTCTAGCCAAGGGAACCGTGTTGGAGCGCATCAAGGAGGGCCTTGAGCAAGATCCAATGGCAAGAGAATTAGTAAAGCTGGCTAGCGATGGCAAAACCCAACGGTTTTGGGTAGAGGACGGTCTACTCTACACCATGGGACGACGAATCTATGTTCCAAAGTGGGACAACTTAAGGCGAGATCTTGTCAAAGAGTGTCACGACACCAAGTGGGCTGGTCATCTGGGTCAAAAGCGCACTATGGCATTGCTAGAGACGGCATACTTTTGGCCCCATATGAAGGATAGCGTGGAGCTTTACGTGAAGACTTGTCTTGTGTGCCAACAAGACAAAGTGGAGAACCGACAGCCGGCGGGATTACTGGAACCTTTACGAGTCCCCTAAAGACCTTGGGATGCGATCACCTTGGATTTCATTAGTGCATTACCCAAGTCTGAGGGATACGGTTCGATCATGGTCGTCGTGGACCGATTTTCTAAGTATGGGACTTTCATACCATGCCCCAAGGATTGCACTGCGGAGGAGGCCGCGCGAGCATTCTTCAAGAATGTCGTGAAGCATTGGGGCTTACCAAGGAGCATCATTAGTGATCGAGACCCTCGATTCACCGGACGCCTATGGACGGAATTGTTCAAGCTCCTTGGAACCGAGTTAAATTTCTCCACAAGCTTTCATCCTCAAACTGATGGGCAGACTGAACGGGTGAACGCTTTGTTGGAGTGTTATTTGCGGCACTTTGTGAGTGCTAACCAGCGAGATTGGGCTAAATTGCTAGACGTCGCCCAATTCTCTTATAACTTGCAGCGGAGTGAAGCCACAGGCCGGAGTCCGTTCGAGCTTGCGACCGGACAACAACCGCTCACGCCGCACACACTGACAATGCCACTTGACGAGGGTAAGAGTCCCGGGGCCGCCAAGATGGCTAAGTCATGGGAGGAGAACGCCGACATCGCCCGCGCATGTTTGGAGAAAGCACGAAAGAAGATGAAGAAATGGGCGGACGAGAAGAGGCGACATCGAGAGTTCTCCGTTGGAGACCTAGTCTTTGTGAAACTTTTGCCACAACAATTCAAAGCCCTCCGAAGCGTTCACAAAGGACTAATACGGAGATATGAGGGACCATTCCAAGTACTTGCCAAGGTGGGAAAAGTGTCTTATCGCTTAGACTTGCCAAGTACACTTAAGATTCATCCGGTCTTCCATGTAAGTATGCTCAAGCCATATCATGCCGACAAGGAAGACCCAAGCCGAGGGTATTCGCATCGAGCACCTCCCGTAGTAACCAAGTCTTATGACAAAGAGGTGGAAACGGTGCTCACAAGCAGGACGGTCCGCAAGAGAGGAGTCCCACCGCGTACCGAGTATTTAATCAAGTGGAAAGGACTACCAGAGTCCGAGGCAACATGGGAACTAGCTGAAGACTTGTGGCAGTTCGAAGAACATCTCAAAGCGTACGAGGCGACGAGGACGACGCCAGAATAGGTGGGGGAGAATGTCACGAAATTGGGCCTTTTCCCCACACTTTGGGCTATTTTGGCTATGTTGGGCCACATTTGGTCTTGGAGGTTGATAGAATAGTGTAGATTATTCTAGAACACTCAAGACTTGTACATATTCTAGAAGCATTCTAGAGTCTTCCATGTTAGGTAGGAAATAATGGAGAATTCTAGAGAATCTCTCCCTACCGTAGGATCAAATCAATCTCCACCGTCCATTGAGGAGGTGGGATGCTATAAATAGGTGTAGAATCCTCATTTGTAAATCATCCAAGAGTTGTAAGCATTCAAGCATTCAACAAGCTTTCTCTCTAAGTTCTTTCCTTTCTTCTTTGTTTCCTTGCCAATCCTTTCTCTAGCACGAGTTCGAGTAAGGCTGACTTAGCTATCGCGAGGGGCGAAAAGGAGCTAAGGCCGCACGAGGCTTATTGAGCGATTAAGTCCGTGACACCGTGCTGGCTGACAAGTTCTATAATTATCCTTCCTCTAAGAAGGTTATTCGATGGACACCTTCTCCACCGAATATGTTTAAATTCAATGTTGATGGGGCAGTTAGTGGAGATGGGGCAAAAGGTGGATTTGGAGGCATTCTTAAAGACTCATTCTGCTGTACTTTAGCCACATTTTCTTCGGCTGTAGGGCCTGGTCCTCCTTTGGCAGAATTGAAGGCGATTGAGAAAGGAATAGATGTTTTCTATTCCTCCGAATGGGCTAAAAAGGGAAGACTTATTATAGAGAGTGATTGTAAAAATGCAGTGGAATGGATTTCAAAGCCATATACTGCTCCAACTTTCTTTAGTTCTCTGGTGGAGGAAATTGGGGTTTTAATTTCTGCTAGGGACATTTGTCTTAGATGGATTCCTCGGAGTTGTAATTTGGAGGCCGACAAGTTAGCTAAGGAGGGGATTGGCTGAGTGATCAGGTTCTATGCTTGGTCGGTTATTAGGTTAGCAGTTTAGAGGTTTGTCTACAGTAGATGGCTTAAGATTAGTCATTGTGGGTGTTTATATTGTTTAGGGGTATTTCTTTCTAGTTGGGTGTCTGTGTTTTATGAGAGTGTTTATTTGGATGTATCTTATGTAATTTATTTTGTTTAATGAAATCATAAGGCACTCTTTTCCTCCTTCCACTGATTAAGGAGCTTTCCTATAATTCTTATAAAAAAAAAAGAGCTTCCTTACAAGCTCCTATAATCAAGAAGGGAGTTTTTAACGAGGCCTACAATTCTTATAAAACAAAGAGAGGAAGAATGTATGTGAAAGTCACTATTCTTTAGGACTGTATGAAGCAACCCTAACCTTAAGCGTAAAGCTTTTAGCTTTCAGTGTGACGCATAAGGAAAGCCTACATCTCTTGGTCTCTCTTTTTCTTTATCCCACATCAATTCATTAAAAAACCAATCTCATATCATTCCATTTATATCCCAATAGTCATAAACCAAACCCTAACCAAGCACAAAGCAGAATGACCATTTAAGTTCATTGTAATTTGTCCAACCATGTGCAAGTACCTGAGATATTCTTCTATTTCTCTCCAAATCCCAGAAGGAAACCTATTTGCTCTCAAACTTTCCCATCTCTTTAACATCAATTAACCCATCCAAATGGGCCTGTTCGTCAAATTGATCTTTGAAACTACCCATCTAAATGTTTGATGCCAACCTCAGCATATCTTAAATTTCAGGACATACAAAAATGTGTTTGTCAATATATATTAGACATGGATACAGGACATCACCTTCTAATGGCCCATCAATATATGGAGAAACTTGGGGTTAAAACTGAGCATACTCATGTCTGATTCATAATCATATCCAACACTCACACACAAGTCCGAGTAAAGTAGGCAAAAGGGAATAGGACGTTGATTTTGCTGTTGCAGTGAGTCTGCTCTCAGCTCATATTTTGACACCACAACAGCAACAACAAAATGTAACAACTAGACTAGAGTAATGATCAGTTATGCCTTTTTATGCATAAGTACATATTGTTAGATGCCTAAATAATTACAAATTTAATAAGAAACACAGAAAAATCAAGAAATTTCTTGCGCAGTACAGAGTAAAGATGATACCTGAAGCAGCTCATCCCCTGGAGCAGCACATGGTAGAATCTGGTCTCTAGTCAAAGCCCTAATTTGAGTCGCATTTTCATGCCCAATCTTCTCTAAGAACCAACCCCCTCTCCCCAATAAACATGCAGCCTGATTATACGCCAATAGCATCCTGCAACAAGCGACCAGATTTTCGCTTTCTTTTTCTGTTTCTTCGTTATCGGCAGCGTCCCCTTTCACTATTCTCTCGAAAACCCTAATCACCGCCTTCTGCAACGGCGACCAAGACGAAGTAGTTTCCTCTTCCCCGCCACCAGAACCTCCTCCCCCTCCCGACGCAGAATTACATCCATCGTCGCTGAAATCTTGCTTCGGCTCCGCATTAGAATTGTTGTTTGGGTTATCAGCATTATTAGAAACCGGAGGTTTGTTATCGGCGACAATTTGGATGATACGTTCCTCGAAAGGATCGTCGAGGATGCGGATTTTGGTGGAAGTTAGAGACTGGAGCTGGCGAATGACAGAACCGCCTTTGCCTATTAGGGCGCCGGTTTTTGCTGATGGGCAGAGCAGTCGAATTTGTATAGTTTCCGGCGATGGCCGTTTCTCCATTGAAATATAGCTCAGATTGGGTTACTCTTCCGGTCCAATAAGCTCAACTCAGTCCGAATTAGGCTTATCTTATTTCGGTGCTCGCATAAAACTAGAATAAGTAACCATTTAAAAATATGAAAGGGTAAATATATATTTTGGTATTTGAATTTAGTTTCAAAGTATAATTTGGCATAGGTTTGGTTTTTCATGTTGATTTTTTCGTTTGATTAGATATATGGACTTGATTTTTAAGTTCAAATCAATGCATAAATTTGGATTTTTGATCCAAATAAATTATTCACTGAAAGTATCAAATGGTACCAAAAAAAAGTTGAAGAATCAATTTTCACCAAAAAGTTAAGTTGAAGTACAAAATTCAACAAAAAATATTAAGCATAAAAAAATGAATACAAAAGCAGAAAGAAAGTCTAATATGAATACGATGGGGGTGGCAGGGGCCAGGATTACGTCTGCTTTGTGCGTGAAGCTTAGTTACGTGAGCAGCAAGTTTGATACCTTTGGAACCAGGCTTCACCCTATCAATGTCTGCCCCCCTATGGCTATAACATAGCTCCTCCTCGTCTACACCTGCCAAATAGTAAATATTAAACGTGCCATGCCATCAGTTGCCGATTCAATCTACCAGATCTCATACCTTGACAGGAAGACCAGCCCCCGGGTACTACTTTATCGGGCGCCCTATGCAAAACATCTTCATCGATCATGTTTACAAGTGGATCATCTTCTTCAATTGGCTGGGCAAAAACTGCTTCACCGCCTATCATTGAAGTGTTTAGTTTAGAGCTTTCTGAAATAATGTACCTTAAATCACTGCCCATTGTTTTGTTTTGGAACTCAACTGAAGTGCAAACTACTGTGTGGAAATAGGTTTCAAGAGGGTAAGCTACATTGGTGAAATACATTAATAGTTTTCTTGGAACGTTATGCCATCCATGGACGCAAAACTCCATCAATATATTGAATTAATCACCCACGGTGAACGTTATATTTTTCTTAAAACTGACCTCCAAATATCTTGAAGGCATCTGGTTTTCGAGTTTCAACATCGTAGTGAATTGCAGAATTGCTCCGATGATATAAATTGGGGTCTACAACAATTAAGTTTATCTCTTCCCTTCTGCACAAAAGAAATGAAAATGAAGGCTTAGTTTATCAAATAAAAGCTGGAGTTGGACTAACTAGAATATCAAAAAGATAACCTTAATCAAAACCAAAATCGAAAAGATAATCCCAGGATTGAATAGGTATAATTTAAAACACAATGGTGGTTTGTGCTTACTGTTTCCAGCCCGGATTGCTAGTATAGTCGATGAAGTTGAGATCCCTTGGAAGGAAAGTGAAAGCATGGAGGAGATCTGCATCCAAAGCAAAATTATCAGTACCTGGTTTTAATAAATGTAATTTGATTCAGTCTTGTAAAACATTCCCAAACTAGAAGCTAGGGTCTATTCATTAACCATTTAGACTTTCTGCAAACCACCATTGTTCTTGGACTTATGCTACATTGTTATTAGTTTAGTGACCAAATCTATGTTATTTAGACTCGCGTGACAGTATTTATCTTATATAGGAACATTTGTAAAGGCGTCCAATATTGATATTTAAGAAGATTAGCTAAATAAGAATATAAACGAATTTAACTCATCATCCGACTTTAAATAATATATATGTTTGTATGAAAGATTTTACTACAATAATGGAAATGAAAGCACCAGTTGAACATATTCAAACAACTTTTCAGTAAGTTATCGTTGTTGGTGAACATTTCAGGAAAAATGTGAGGCAAGTTTAGAATACAATAAAATTTCACTTTATGCATTTCTCAATCAAAGTTCATCTTTATCACCAATCACATAATTTTGTCGGAAATCCTAACCTAAGTCTCATATCATACACATATTCATATTCTACATCCAATTAAGTAACATAGAAAAGTCGAAATTTAGGACAAGTTACCATCTTGAGTCATTAGGGGATAAGAAGAGGCACTTAAAGGTATGAACCAATCCCAATCTGAATTAATCTTGAGAAGCAAAAGCAGCAGCATGAAATGTAGCAGCAAGAGCTGAAGGTCCCATCTGATTAACTGCATAACTTTTACCTTCAACATTAACATTTCCAAATGTTTGGAACACTGTTTCGGATTCGATCAAAAACCATAAATTTTATCTTTCACAATCAGATGAAGCAGAATCAAGTTGCAGCAAATACTGGTTTCTTGGATGATATATTGCTTTCAGCAACCTCAACATTTTCTTACTGTCTCCATTGCTGGCACTGATCCAATAAGCAAGAACAGGTGGACAGCCATACCTAGACCAAAGCAAAAGGAAAATAGATCCGAACCATAGTGTATAGAAATTAGTGAAACTGTCAATAATATCATATAAAAAATCATCTTTTAATAAATATGAAAAAAAAATCGATTCAGTTCTTTAAAAATTATGAATATTTCACATACCCTTTTATTGGGAGCCTCAATGGTTTCTGAAACTTTGAAACCTTCAAAGAAACTTCATCTTCGTTGTTTCTTCGATTTTGATAAGCCTCCAAACAATATTAAAGTTGTAGCAAAAACAACCATCCACGGACAATAACCTGAAAACCATGAGTAGATCTTTATTATCCTCATTTTCCACTGTTTTTTAGCATAATGTGGAGCACCTATAGTTTAAGACTCGTCGAATGAATTGAACTAGAAGAGACCCGAAACTGAAAACGCCGTTGGCACCATCATCAAGCTAATGCAAATGAATTAAGAACTTCAAAACTCAGAAGAAGAGTATAGCAAAATCATCGAACCCTAAACTGTAAACACCTTTGATACGATCTTCGAAATAAAATGAATTCAGAACTTAAAAAAACTCAGGAGAAGCTTTGTTCTACTCTGCTGATATTATCATCAAACATCTGTGAGAGTAAATAGAGATTGGATTTAGAAAAAAATTACTTTGACTTGAGAAAATTGTTAGAAGGGTTGAATTAATAATTGAATGTAATTATGAAAAACAAGAAGTCATTGATGATGGGAACATGTAAACAACATTAATGATAAAAGGAGGTTGGTTTATTAGTTACGATAAATAAAGTATGCTTAAAATGTCGAGCTGACGAACCCACTACTTGAAAAACTTAAAGTGGAAGCAAACAAAGTTGGTTAACTTTCCACCTCTTTCAAAACAAGGGAACAAAATTATACACAAGGCCTTGAAAAAATTAGATAAAATCAAAAATCATTTTCGTATAATAGTGTTTGATTTGATTTTAATTTGTTTTTAATAAATTGTAATAAGTTTTTAGTTCATTCGATATTTACGTTATATTCCAAGTTTCGGGAGTTAGATTAAAATGTTTCAAAATCTTGTACCAGTTTACAAGCTCTCTAAAACTGTGAGGACTTGTAGCTTGGTTTACCCTTTTTTTAAGGATTTCAAAACCCACTCTTCCCCTCCTCCTTTTCCCTTTTTTTTCTTTTTCCCTCTCTACTGTATTTTCTCTCTCTCTCAACTACCGTTCGTTTGCTTTTGCCTTTGTTTTGTCGTCGTCTGTGTCGCCATGTTGATCACCCCCGACGTCATTGTGTTCATCTCACCGTCGTCGTTCGTCTGGTGTCTTTGGATTCTCGTTCATCGTCTCTGATCGTAACTGATGAGGGTTTGAACTTTCGAGTTTCGTAAAAACTCACATCTCGGCCAATCTTTTTTGGGAAACCGACGCTTGTAAGTGACTCCCCGTCATTTAAAATATTTTTTTAATTTTTTTGATCGTCAGACGTCATCCCACGTGCCCCACGCGCCACCATGTGCGTGTGGGAGTGTTCTGGTAGTTCAAAATTGGCTAAACCGATTACTTCTGGACCGAACCTACTAGACCCGTTGACCGTTAACTCGTTGACCAACCTGACCCGTTGATCGTTGATTGTTGACTTTGACCCGTTGACTTTTTCTGAAGACCCTAATCTTTATGTTTTTCGACGTAGTAAGTCTATTTCCGCTGTCTATTTTTTCAAATTCTGACATGAAAGCCCTGTTTTACGTCATTTATTGCTTAAAATCATAATTATGTTAAGTTAATTGTGAAATTTTGGACTCACTTTATGGTATTATTTTTTGAAGGCACTCTTGCGTCACTAAACCGTTCTCTAGTAGACCCTGATCATTCCCGTTATTCTCAGTTTGATTTTGCATGCTCATCTCGAGATACATGTAAGTTCTTCTTAGTGATTTTATAGTTTGTTTCTATTTAGCTATTGGCATCTATATTCATATATGTGTGTTATTTTTAGATCCCCACTCCGCAAGACCTAGTACGATCGACCGTGGGAAGCGTAAGGATTCATCAGTGTTAGTTAGCTAGATAGGTATGTCCCCTTTACCTATTTGATTCTTCAATATATTATTCTATTATGTTTAATATTACTGCCTAAAGCATGTTTGAAATTTGAGTACAATTAATTGTATGTGACATTTCTTTTTTTCCTCTCTATTGTATTTTTTCTCTCTCAACTATCGTTCGTTTACTTTTATCCTTAATTCGTTGTTACCTGTGTCACCATGTTGCTCACCATCGGTGTCATTCTGTTCGTCTCACCATTATCTTTCATCTGGTGTCTTTAGCTTCTCGTTCGCTGTCATTGTTCGTAACCTATGAGGGTTTAAACTTTCGAGTTTTGTAAAAACTCGCATCTCTACCAATCTTTTTGGGAAACCGAGGCTTTTAAGTGACTCCCCATCATTTAATTTTGTTTTTGTAATTTTTGATATTTTTTCGATTGCTAGACAACATCCCACGCATCGCCGTGCACGTGTGGGAGCATTATGGCAATTTAAAACTGACTGAATCAGTTACATTTGGATCAAACTGACTGGATCAGTTGACTGGTTTGACCCATTAACCCCCCGACTCGTTGACTGACCTGACCCCTTGACAGTTGACCATTAACCATTGACTTTGACATATTAACTTTTTTCGAAGACCTTTGTATTTATGTTTTCTGACGTCCTGAGTTTGTTTCTACAGTCTGTTTTTCTAAATTATGACATGAAAGCCTTGTT